TAAATTATTAAACAAAAGCTTCTCTCAAAATAAAACCACTGGGAACCTCCATGTAATAAAATGAGTCACACCAGGATGCGATGACTAAGTGGGAGAACAGGGAATTCCACTCCCCATGCCAGCTTTCTTCATGATCAATTTTCTGTCAACAGGTGATGGGAGCTTGTCTCTCTGCCTTTTGTTTATGCCAAGAATTATGATTATTTTTTAATATTCTCCCTAAACAATTAAGCTGAATAATCAGGACCAGGCACACTTCCATCAGGCGCCCCCATAGTAAACAGTGAGCCAGGGAATCCAGGCCAGCAGTGGCTGCCTGTGTTAATAAGGATTTACCAGCTGTAAAATTCCAAAATCTTGTGTCATACGGGGAAACCTTCCAAAACACTGGATTCCACCCTGTCTCGCTGAGTCTCCAACAGCTATGGCAACTCCGTTTCTGCAGCCACACTCTTCTGCATTTTTCTCTGGGTGAGCCCTGGATTTTTTCCTGTTTTGCAGTGTTTTTTTGGAATCCCTGTTTTTTTGGAATGCCCCGTAGGATTACAAGAACACCTGGGGAGGCAGCACATCCCAGCCAGGGGGAATCCTTTGGGGAGAAAGGTTTGCTGGCTTTCAGCGGCTACAGCAGCAAGGAGAGGCACAAGGTGCCCCGTTACCCTGAAACTTTCTAATTTGCACAGCAGAACCTGGCAAACCAATCCTCCTGCTTAATACTCATTACCCTCACAGTCAATATTCAAAGTTGTTTATTTGCTCAAGTAGCAAACATCTCTTTTGAATGAACCTGGGAAAACACTGAAAGTTTTTTAAAAGCTTTTTGTCCATTTTATCGTGAATTTGCCTGAGGAAATTGCATCATTAATGTTGCACTATTAAGTTCACAGAGTTAACTGCTGAAAATCATTTGCTATTTTCTGCACTCCCCAGGAGGTTTTGGATCATTCATGAAACTGTCAGACTACAAAAAGGGCTTCAGCTCCCTGTTTGGAGCACGGGGAGGAACTGACCTAGCAGAAAGGGGAACACTGCTGTAGACAGAGTAGGAATTTCCTTCCATGTCTCCCACAGAGAACACGATCCTACCATCAAACCCACACAGCAGCAACCTTCTGTCCACATTAAACCTGCCCTGCTGCCATCCCACCACCGTGTCCTGCAGTGCACTGTCCTGCAGGATTCCTGGGATCCCCTGGCACACCTCCCATGGCTTGTTTCCAGCATGTGGGGTGCAGCATTTGGGCACTGTGCACACAAAACCTCAACCTGCACCCAACCCTGCACACCCCAGCCTGAGCCTGCAGCCAGGACACGTCCAGGTGTGTCCAAGCACCACTGCTGGGCTCCAGAGCTGGCCAGATTTACCTTGTCGCATTTATTTTGTTATTTTGTGGATGTGCACACCTGGGGGCCCTGGCAGCTGCCCCAGTTCAGAGGGCACAGGCAGCACCTCCTCTCCTCACCCTGCCTGGCCCAAGCTGGAGATTTCTGGTGGAGCCTCTCCAAGGATGGACATTGTGTTTGGGCTGTTCCTCCACCACCCACATTGTCCTAGAGATGATTCACAATGTCCATGTGGCCACCAGAAGAGTTTGGCAGGGGAAATCACAGCCCATTTGCACTTTTCTCCCCGAGAAATACGAACCTCCTCTATCACTGACAGCTGAGCAGCAGTAACCAGTACACAACTGGGAGTAAACACAATGCAACCAGCATCTGACTAGCAAATTATTACATGACAATTAAAATAAATAAAAGGGGGAATTCCAGATCTCGTCTTTTTTTAACTGCACTGTAAGATCTGGGCCCCAACCAAACACTAACACCCTTGACCTTCACCCTATTCCAAGTCCTTGATAGCTCCAAGACTGCTTTTCAAGCTTTGCCTTCCAGATCAGAATTACAAGAACACAGTCCAATCCAGTTACTTCCCTGACCTACTTTAACTTAGCTGGGCTCAGTTACGTGTCTCCAAGTTCAGATCTCCAAACTCCATTAGCCAAACTCTGCCTTTGTGTGCTGGGCTTAGGGAATTCATGAGCTCCCCTGGCTCACAGCAGCTACACTTTATGATCTTGCATCAGCACGAGATAACCATAAGAAGAGCCCAGAACTCTAAGGCCTGCGTGCAGATAAACTTTAGCATTCAGAAAATTAATGCTATTTATGCATCAGCATTTCAAACACCAGCACTTATCCCTCGGAGCACTGAGCTCCAGCCCCTTCTCTGTTTCCTGCTGCCGTTTCCTGTCGTGAGGCTGCGCCTGAGCCTGTCCCTGCCCTGTCCCCAGCAGCTCCTGCCACCGCCTGCGGCTCGCGTGACACGCCACTCACTGCCACACTGCCATCCCCCACAATGCAGGAACTGTCCTTCTGTTCCAGGTGTTTCTATGGGAAAATGTGCTATCTGCACTTCTGTGAAACGACAAAGCAAGCCTGCTCATTACTGCGGATGGAGATGTATTTTTGTCACAAATGTGACCAGTTCCACGCTCCTCTGCCTTCCTAACGGTGGGTGAGGAATCGTCTACAAGATCCAGAGGAAATGGACAGAGGTTCTGAGTGTTCCCCTGAGGGATGAACCTAATTTACAACTGTGACCCCAAGCAGCAGCTCCCTCAGCTCTGCAAAGCACACGAGTGATGCCCTCCCAGCATCACTTCACCCGGATCCAAGGGCACCCAGAGTTTGGAGTCTGTGGAACAATGAACAGCACAAAATCTGGCTGTGCAAAAATACTTGAAGAAAGATTTTTTTAGGGGAAAAAGAGCCCTCTCACCCTAAACCCTGGACACCCAAGCCAAGGAGCTCTGTGGAGCCTGGTGTGATGTTTGCCTACACCGCTGCTCTCACCCTCACTGTTACCAGCACAGCTAAAACTGGTGGCACAAGTGGGAAATGCAGCAGCACTTGCCAGCACAGACAAGGCTTGTGAGCTGTTAAAATGAAACTCTAAGCAAACCAAGCTTCCCCTGCGAGCTTGCTGCATCTTCCTGCCCCGCCAGAGGTGTGATTGTCTCACAGGCTCTGCGGCACGCTCTGGAACAGACAGAGCCTGCTGCAGCTGGGGTCAGCAGAGCTGGGCTGCCACCCACCCCAGCGCGGTGCCTGTGGCTTCCCCTGCCCCTGAGCAGCTCAGCAGCACTTTCTGCACGGGCTGTGCAGGGCAGGGGAGCCGTGGGTGGGTGGCTGCTCCTCCTTCCACCCAGGCACTGCTCCATCAACGCCTGGGGCTGCACAGCTGGGCTCGCTGCTCTGGGCTCCTGCAGCCCAAGGCAATGGCAACTACAACAGAGATATTTAGAATTGTCTACAGTGCAGAATGAGGGAGGCTGAAAGCCTCAGGTGCACAAGATGCTGATTTTCAGGTGAGCTGGGACACTCATCAACCTCTGACAAGGCAGGCACAAAGCAATTGTCAGTTTGCTTTGTCAGTCAGCCCATGCATGATCTCCACATCCAGCTCAGCTTAACCTTCCTCACCTTAGGATACACCTATTAAACAAAGCAATCTTCATTTAAAAGCCCTTCAGGCACCTCTGCCAGAGGTGCTGCTGCATTATGGAACACATTCAGCACAGAGTCCCCCAGTTAACCCACTGCAAACCACACAGACCTCTGACTCAGCCTGAGGAATTGACTCTGGACCTCCCATCCTCCAAATCCCCTTCTGCCACTCATTTACTCAGAGTCCAGCAGGCTGAGACTGCCTGCAGAGGCCAAGGGCTGGGGAGAGGCAGGATATGGAACACCAGCAAGCAAATCCCTGCTCCAGACTGGGCACTGCTGCTGGGATAAGTCCTGTCTCTCCCCTACCAGGAGGGAAAAAAAGAGGAAAAAACCCTGCAGTTTCCCCAGCAGCGAAGAAAAGCTTTAGATTTAGTGTGGAAAATATTGTTGTTCTTTTTACTTTCTAACATCCCTTGCAGCCAGAGCCTTCTCTGCTCTCCTATGGAAACAGGGGCAGGGCGTTTGGGACGTTTCCTCGAAATGGCACCAAGAGCTGCCTCCTTTGAGTGGATCATCTCCTGCAGCTACTGCAGAGCATTCTTGGGACAGGTAGCGCTGCAGGCTGCCAAGATGTTCCCCAGCACCTTCCCCAGGCGCTGACATGGTGGAACAGTGGCAGCCCAGTGGGAAGGAATTAATCCATGGGCTGAAAGGAAACAGAGCGTGCCAAAAGAAATCCTCTGACTGCACAGGCTCATCTGAACCTCCACAGCTCTTCAGAGCCTTTCATACCTGCACAAACAGCCTGGCTTGCTGCTGCTGGGGGAAGGAGCTGGCACCCACAGGATGCTTTTGCCCTCCATGTCACCAGCTGGTGCCTGTGTATGTTCATGAATGTACATTCATTTTTGGCTCGATTCTGACTTTTTTCCAATGGCATTACCCCATAGATCATGCACATGCTGCTCACTTGGGCAATGCAATCTCTTAAACTCCTTGCAAGTCACTGGACATATCACTTAAGATACCTCTACCTCAGTTCACTGACAGAAAACTTCCAAGCACCAGGTTTTCTTAACAACACAAAGGGAACACAAAGTTTACAATCAAAAATATGGAAGGAGAAGGGATTGATTACGTATAAAAATAATTTTATATAAAAGGACACATGTTTGTTTTTCCGCCACAGATTTCTAGAGGGAAGAAAAAATCTTTGCCTGTGGCTCACATCAATAAAAACGTTAATTTCAATGATGATTTCTATGGTAGCATTCACTAAACATGAGATTAAACAGGCACAGAGGAACACGTAGTGCTCAGCTCCTTTTTCTGCTAACAAATCCTGTCCCTGCTGATTCCCAGTGCCTGGATTCTTGTGAAGCAACAACACAAACAGTTGCTCCCAAGTCTAACTTTACTCACATGGTTTTACTTACATGAACTTCAATGGGACAACTCACTTGAGAATCATGACACAAATCTTATGATGAGATTTGGCACTACAGCTTTGCCTTATCCTGTTAGGGAAAGTTAGGAAAAACCTGCCTTACCTGATGTTTTTTCTGTGAACACCACCTTGGACTCTGCTGTGAAATTCTGTCCAGTGAGGATCATCTGCTGTCCTCCATAAACCAGGCAGCTGTCAATATCTTGTCTTTCAACCATTGGAAGCTCATGAGCAGACCTTTGGGCTGTGGACAAATTGCAAACATGAATGAAACCAGCTCTGTTTTACCAGGACTTTCCAAATCTTCCCAGAACTATCCACAGATTGATCTTGTCATCGTTACCATCCCCTGACTGCCAAAGCAGCTTCTCCAGGGCGCTAAATTTAGGTCCGAGAGGGAAAAATAAACTTACTCAAGGCATTTTATTTGGAAACATTCAGGAGTTGGCTGCAGTGGTTCAGCTGTGCTGGCCCTGCTCCTTGCCCTTGAGAAAGGACAGCTTGGATGAATGAGCTGAAACTTGCCCATGCCTGTTTCCAAGTCAACGGCCAAATTTTCAAGTGCAGGCACACTACAGCCCTAGAGCCCAAAAATTCCACCTGCACAGAGGATTCCACTGAATAACACTGAATTCCTTCAGAGGGGAAAAAATAAAATAAAATAAAATGAACCTCCTTTCCAAAATCCCAGTGCCTCCCACAGGGCAGGCCTGGCACAGGGGTTGCCAACAACAGCTCCATCTCCAGCTCCAAGTGTGGGCACCGAGCCCTGGGGACAGCCATGAACCCCAGATGTGAGCAGGAGGGGTCACACCAGGACTGCTGCAGCCCAGGGCTTTCCAAGCACGTTCTGCAGGAGCCTGAACACCTGAGGAGCAGGCCCTGTGTCACAGACTGAGCCTGACTGTGAAAGGCAAGGGAAGGAAAGGTAGGGTGGGATCCAGATGGACACGGACATCAGCAAGGCTTTCTAAGGTCTTCACTGTTCTTGGCCACGAATCTGGAGCGTGACTTTAGCAAGTTATTCTCTCTTTCCCTGGCCAGAAAACCAGGAGAGCACCATCTCTCCACCTGCTTTCCTCTGATGCCATTAAACAGCCACTGCATGGTCAGAAAAGCCGTTGGGAGCCCTGGTGGCCATCCCTGCAGAGCCATCCCAAGTGTCTGCTATGGAGAGGTGAGAGCTGAGGGAAGTGAGGATGTGAGAGCTGTTCCCTACAACACAGACAGCTGGAAAACATCAGGAGCTCCCTGTGAGCAGAGCAGGTGGGCAGCAGCTCGGGGCTGGTGAACTGTGAGTTCATGACCTGCACTCCAACTCCTCCAGATCCATCCGCCCCAACGGCAAAGGCCTCCAGAGGCTCCTGCTCATCTCTTTCCCAGCTGCCTTGGCTGGATTTCAGCTCTCCCTGACAGAGACCCTGAGCACTGGTGCCTTCACTGAACGCTGGCTGCGGAGCCAGAAATGAGGGAATGTGATCCTGGACGTGCAGGGCTGGCCCTGACTCACACCCAGGCAGGCTGTGACCCGACCTGGCACTGCTCTGCAGCCCTCGCAAACACCAAATTCTCTCGTCACCTGGAGAAAATGTTGGAGTATTTGCTGAGAAAACTCAAGCATTAAACCTTTCACAGCAACTTTTCTAGCTCTGCTGAACCCTTCAGACCCCAGACAGAGATTTTGCTCTTATTAAAGAATAGAGGTAATCCAATAGTTGTAACTTTCTTATACCATTTGAGAGGCATTTTTGAATTCTGTTTGAAACTACTTTAGGACTCATTGTTCTTTTCAAGTATGTAACATCTGGGCTAATATACTGCCAGTTAAAAAATATATATATTCAGATTACTTTCAAAGACATTGCTAATTTCTTTCACATAGCTGTAGGATTAATTTATTTCCCAAAATACTAACAACATTTTTGATGAGTTCCTAATTAGATTTATCACAAAGACAGATCTGTAACCACAAAGGCTTAAGAGTAAATAGCAATCATTAAAAAGCATGTCTACAACAGTCAAGAGAAAACATTTAAGTATTTAAGCATTGCCCTGGATGCTCTTTATTCCTATTCAATCACCAAATTTCACTTCCAAAACATCCTAAGTCATTGAAATTCCAGATTAACCTACATCTCTTTGCAGCTTTGTTGTGTTAACAGAGAGCTTGGTACCTGCCACCCCACAGATCAGTGGTTTCCAAGGCATTTCCAGCGTGAGGAAGGACAGATTTTAGCCTGGAAGTGACACTGACCCATCTCAGTGACATTTGGAGCTGGCTGTGCACTCCAGCTTTGGGCACCCCAGAGCTGCGCCTGCCCTGACACAAGAGGGGTGTGCAAGGCTCCTGTGCCTCAGATGTGCTGACAACAACCCCACCTGGAGCAGTCCCACTGGTTTCCCCTGCCCTGTTCTACCTGAATTCCTCTCCTCCCTTTGGGTGGTCTGAAATCTTTTTCTAATAATGAAACCCCAGCCACTTTTCATTTTCCAAGGTCTCTTTTTCTCACCCAGGCATGTAAGAAGGCTTCACCCCTTTCCCCATTTCCACCAGCACAGAGGTTCAAGGTTCAGTGTGGAGCTGCCTCAATAGGATTATTTTTTTTTCCTCTGCAAGAAATATTAATTGCTAATAAATCCCCTTCCTCTAAGGCTCATGATGGGTGCACTGCATGCAATAATTTCACACTATTCCTTCTCTTCCCCCAGGGGTTGGCACTTCATAAAGTGACCTACAGCTACTGGAGTTTATGAGCTTTGAATAAACAAAACACTGTTGATTTAACCAGTTGGGGTGTTTACTTTCAATAGCAACAGTTACTGACACAAGGCAGCAAAGCAAATGCTATAGAAATACTCACACTTGGCCTGAAGCAGTGTGTCAACCTATTAACAGGGGACATTATTTTTCTATTTTATTTGACTGTTTGCAAATCAAGATGTCGTGGATTCGTGGTGCCAAGAAATACAATGCATGCAGTGACACAAGGCAGAAAGGGAGGCACTGTCTGAGCCCTGCAGCCCCTCCAGGGAGCTGAGCCTGCAGGGAGCAGGGGCTGCCACAGCTCTACCCTGCTCTAGCAGCTGCAGAGAAGCTGAGGGTGGGCAGCAGGCTGAGCATCTCATGGGGATGCACAACTCACCACGGGGACTGTGCCAAGGCAGGCAAAGGTGGGGCTTGGTTCCCCCCTACCCACAGCGTCCATCCCTCTCCTCCTCAGCAGAGAGGAGATCTGCCTTTCAGGGGGAAAGGGGCATTTTGAGAAAAGTGATGACCTGGAGAAGTCTCCTGCAGCTCCAAATGTCACCCACGAGGGTGTCACCCACTGCTGCTGGGAGGTGACAAAGGACAGTGCTGGGTCTGGTGGAAGGTGTCCCTACCCATGGCAGGGGGTGGGACTGGAGGAGCTTTAAGGTCCCCTCCAAGCCAAGACTTTCTATAATTCTGTAATTCTGTGATGACCTCCTGCTCTCTCCCACACGTGCAGCACTGACCCCAGATCTCAGGTTCTCTCTTGTCCCCAGTGCTGACAGTGAGACAGCAGAGATTTGATCCTTGGGACACCTGATCAGGAGGAGCAGCCTGGGCTCAGTGCAGCCCAGCGAGGACAAAGCCACTGCTACCTGTGACTACCTCACAAGCCAATAAACCAAAACTGTGGCTGTTTAAGAGGGGTGGGGTCACAACTGGCACCCCAGTGCAGTGGCCTCACCAGAACAATCATTCAGATCCTCTCTGGACACCTCTGTCCTTCCCCTGCCCAGAGCTCACCCCAGCTTGCTGGAAGCCTTCAAGCTGGGCCCCACCACCCCTGACATGTCTTTGCAAACCTCCACAGGCTCTTGGTCCAGCCCCTGATTCCTGTTGGGTTTGAGAAGAGCAGCTAGAGCAGGATGTCTGCTGCTGAAGAAACCCTGACCCCTGGAAGCAACAGCAGAGGTGTAATTTGTTATGGGATTAATTCTTCCACCTCGGTGCAAACCTCAATGAGCCAAAGCAAATATTTCATTCCTGCTGCCACACTGGGTTTATTTACCACGAGCTGCCTGTGGTAGGATTGATAGGGGCAGAGCTGCTGTGCTCAACACTCATCCAACAATTACTGTTTGAGAGACTTTGATCCCCTCCATCACTCCCTGAAGCATCCTGGGCTCTGCAGTGGGAGCAAAGACAAAGGCTGGGCAGCCATGGGTGCACCAAGGGCAGGAGACATCTCCAGCAGCCAGGGAGACACCAGCAAGGCACCCTAGAGAGGAGCACATTCTGATCAGGAGGACAGGATCATTTCCCTCCTGGTAGGAGTGTGGAGCAGTGGAAGGCATACAAACCAAGTAAATAAAGCTAATTTCCAGCCCTCGTGGGGAAACCTTGAGAATGTGGTCTCAACACTCTGAAAAGAAGAACACAGTGTGACTGACAACAGTTTCTAATTTGCTGCCAGCAAGACTTAATCAGCAGTTTGTGCAGAGCCATCCAAGCAAAAAGCACCAAAAATAGAGAGCTTTTCTGCACCTCCTCCTCTGCAGATAATTTACGATGTCCTCGCAAAGGAGAAGTGACAAGCAGCCATGGCAGCAGTGTCAGATAAGTGTGAAACTTTCTATGAACTGCAGCCAGCTCAGCAAGCCAGTGTGTGATGAATGACAGGGCAGCCATGGCCTGGGTTCCCTTCTCTGTCACTCATCCCTGTGGGTATGCACAGCATTTCCCTTCCTTGGGCAGGGATGTGCTCTGTGGAATGCTGCTCTGTGTGCTGGGCTCTTTGCTTGTACCACAGCTGCACTAAAGGCAACAAGTGAGCAGGAGCTCACCCACAGCAAGGCTGGCATCCCCTTCACTCTGACTCCAGCTTTAATGACTGAAATATTTCAGCCGCACGTTCAGAGTGGCAAATGTTGTCAGAATTAGCTTTTACATTCTGTGCTTCAAGAGAGAGAAGGTGCTCTTTAGAGAAAGCACCAGTTTGTCTGTTTGCAGCCAACTGTGTGACTGTCTTGAAGTTGAAATGAAAGGGGGAAAAAATTCATCTAATTCAACTGGAAACCATGAGACTCCCATAATAATCAGGGTTATGGTTAAACTTGCAAATAGGTATCTCCCAAGTGCAAAGAGACCATTTGTTTCTGCTTTTCTGTCTGAATAAAGCAGGGCTCCTTCTTGCCTGCTGCTGTGTTCCAACAGCACAACTCCCAGCTGAGGAAAAGCACTCGCTGCCTTGCCAAGACAACATTCTTGTACATGACTAGCTCTTTCCTCTGCAGTTATTAATGTGTCACAAATCATAGGCTCAGATTGTCTCATATTATGGGAAAATCTACTAGAAGGAGAGAAAAATAAAGGAAACTTCCAGGGAAATTGATTAAAGGGAAATAAGAAATTTGACCCAATTTAACGGAACAAAATACGGTCAATAATAGAAACTATTTACATTCCTCTAGACGGACACACGGTTCTTTAGCAATAAGTTTTGTTTGTTTTGCTTTTTTACCACCTCGGAACATCTATTATAAGAACAAGATTTTAGTCCCCTTCTCTCGTGCCAAGTGCAATTTAAGTTTGCATTTTAGGGGATTCACGAGCACAGCTCAGAGTCAGCAAACATGGACTCTGCAAAGCAGGAACTGTGACGGACTTTGGGAAGGTTTAACAGGATTCATTAGAATAAAAGCTGGGGCCCAGTGTAAGACACCCCTGAGCCTCACACTTGGACATTTGCATGGAGCAGTTTTGGTTGCTGACAGCACAGAGCACAACAAGCTGCCTTGCTATCCTGGATTCCATCCTGCTCCTCCTCTGCTCCAGGATTCTGCAGTCAAGGAGTGCAAACAGAGCTGGGGCACGCAGCCTGACTCCCAGAGGTGATGACAAATCTGCCCTGGAGAGGCAGCCCAGGGTTAACAATTTCTGTAACACCAGAGCCCACCCACCCCCCAAGAAACGAGCTCCAGCTCTTGGGGAAAGGCAAAGGAACAGAGCTGATGTTACAGAAATCGTCCTCACGGCTCAAAAATAACAGGCTGCAGTGTCCAACCTCTCCAGGGCTGATTTTGTACATGGCTGTGTTGGAAGGGCCAGGTGAACTCGGTCACCCCTCACCTGCAATGTCACCAGCAGCTCTGTGACAGCCCTGCTGGCCCAACAGAGCTCACCCAGCACCTGCTGGTTCCAGCCCAGAGCAGGGACAGACCTGGGGCAGAGATGGGACAGCACCTAGGCCAGGCCAAGCTCAGGGTCCCCACATCCCCCATGGGGCTGACACTTCATTGCCCAGCCTGCAGCACACCAGGAGAAGGGATCATTTCACCTCTCCAGCACACACCTACAGCAGCGTGGTCTCCCACACCTGCCTGAGCCATGGTGCCACAGCTCTCAGAGGGATTTCAAACGCCTGTGCCTCCCCAGGGGCTTCAGGACGAACCAAGAGCCAACAGCAGAGAAAAGCTGCTGAGTGCTGCAGGCCTGTGTGGGTCTGAGGTCCATTCTAAGGCACAAGTGATCATCTAACCACACATCACCCCCTGCCCTCCCACACAGCTCCTGGGGAGGAGCCTGCTCCGGGTGAGGCTCCGAACCTGTGAAATCCCCTCCGAAAATCTGTCAGTGCCGAATGTGACACAGATGAGGTGGAATCAAAGAGCCCTCTGAAAAGCAGCTGTTTCACAGTTCTTGCTTCACTGCAGCTAATGATCTGCTGACACTGCTGGGAATTCCTGGGGATCAGCTTCTGGGGAGGAGAGAGCTCGGATACTCTGTTGGTATCCTGGGAAGGGAAATGGGCTGTGATCCTGGAGCTGCTGCTCACCAAGGCCTCCCAGAGGGACAGCATCTCTGCTACCAGATGGGGGGATCCTGAGGAGAGCCCCTGGCATTAGGATTCTCAGCTGGCCAGGGCAAAAAACACCCGAACAAACCAGAAAACAAAGGGGGAAAAAGTGAATCCCAGCAGCACAGAAGGTGGGACGAGAAGAAAACATCCCCCAGCCCCAGGGCCCCTTCTTGGCAGGGCACCTGAGCCCACCTGGGACTGCCTGGGAGCCCTGCGAGGTGTGCACACTGGCTGGGACAGGCTGAGGTTACACCTCTAATGAGACCTAGGTGCACTGCTAATGCTGGCTGAGCCCCCTGATGTTTTAACTATCTTCCCAGAACCAGGCTGAGATAGGAAGTGCTACTGAAATGCAAAACCAGTGCTAAATATGCAACATACACACTAAATGGCAGAGGCTTAGTACTCCAGATCACTTCATTCCCTGCTTCCTTGAGTGCGGAAAAGCACAGTCCTTAACATATCTCCCTAAACTGCCTGTATATCCACTATTCCTAAAATAAAACTTTCTCATTTCATTTCCTTGGGGATCAAAGTATAAAAGTATTTAAAAAAAATACATTTTTTCTTGTAGGAGCTTTGCCGTCTTCTATGCAGCCAATATTTTAATAGTTTAATTATAAAAAAAACTCTACTAACAATAAGCCACTTATACTGTATCTCCACCCTTGGCTTTTTAATACCCCTAAGACTCATCAATGCAAAGACATCTCAGAATAAATGCCTCAACATCTTAACCGAGGCTCTGCCACAGCACTCACTGCACAGGCAAATTAGGTGTGTGCATACAGCTCAGAAAAATGTGATTTATTCTGCAAACCATGCCTGGATTTCTGCTTGAAATGCAGCGATGGGCACAAACACAACATGCCATTGTGGAAGGCCCCAGGAATGCCTGGCTTACTCATGCTTGCTTTTCCTGAGGAGAATTTGAGTAGGTGGGGGTGATGTGTGGGGCTCCCTGTGGGATCCAGGCCAGCCTCCCCTGTTTTCCTGCCTGCAGGGTGTAGGAGTTACACCTGGAACTTCCCCACCCTAGGAGCTCCTCTCTGAGAGCTTCCTTTGGCAAATGGACCTTTGTTCCAGCAGGGACAGTTTGGGGTGGAGGCCACTATTGTTCCAGCCACCTGCTCCCACGGAGGAACAGGACAATTTCCTATGGACAGAGGTGCTGGCTGCTCCCACTGCTGTCCCTTCCCCATCACAGTGCCCAGACACTGCACACAGCTGCTAAAATGTTCTGATAGTTGGTACCTTCTCAGAAACACTGCCAAGAGACCATCCATAGCCATCATCCTCTCCCAGCATGGCCTGGGTTATTCACTTGTGCTGCTTTTTTAGAACTGCCATCAATAATTCATCAGCCAGTTTAATTTCCCACCCAGAACTGGCTCCTCTCATTCTAAGCAGCTGTATTTAAGTAAAGTCTGCATCTCAATAAATACAACTCACACATGAGAGACTCAGTGACTTTCTTCACATGACTTATGGCAAGACAGGTTCTGCTAAAGGGGTGAGTCATTCAGCAAAGGTAGAGGAAAACTGTTCATGATGTATTTGTGAAATCCCCAAACCACAAAAAGGCACCATTTAATAACAAAAAGCATCACAGGATGCAGAGGAACCAATAAAGTAGGTAGAACCCTTCCAGAAATGACTGTGACACGGGGGGCCTCATCAGAGGCCTCTCTTTCTCAGGATCCAGTCAGTTATAATGAGTGGGAGGTGCAGGTTGCGAGCTCACACATTTATGGGATTTGCACTTCAGAAATCAAAACTGCCAGTTTTCTTCTGTCCCTCAGGGGAATACCAGAACCACCTGTGCTTCAGCCTCCTGAGCTGTGCACCCCTTGGCACTGACAGCTAGCAAAAACAGTGACCAGAATGCACCTGACCTCAGAATCAGAGCTGTCCCTCCATTCCAGCTGTGCTCCTCAGAATCAGAGCTGTCCCTCCGCTCCAGCTGTGCTACTCAGAATCAGAGCTGTCCCTCCGCTCCAGCTGTGCTCCTCAGAATCAGAGCTGTCCCTCCATTCCAGCTGTGCTCCTCAGAATCAGAGCTGTCCCTCTGCTCCAGCTGCGCTGCTGCCACAGCTCAGACCAGAGGACCCTGGTCACACTCCTCTGGCACAGGCTACAGTGCTTGGAGCCAGCCCAGTGTGAATTCAAACCTCCAGCCACCTGCCAGTTCGTGGAGGACGAGTTCTGATTGTGCCTCCACTCTAAATAAAGCCAGGAAAGCAGACAGCTTGCACACTTCACCAACAGGGACAGCACAGGTGTGTCCCTACATACACCCCACGCTGCTCCTAGGAGAGCCAGCAGGACCCAGCAGCAATGCACTGATAAATAACTCTGCAGAAGCCCCCAGACTTGCAGCACAGAGCTTGCTGTCCTCACAAGCCCCCCAAACCTCTCCGAGGACAGGGAATGCCTGGAGGGAAGGCAGAGCCGCAGTTGCCAGGCACGGCTGGCACAGGGGGCAGAGCACAGCAGGGACTGCCAGCCCAGAGGCAGGGCAGCAGAGCAGCAGCGCAGGGATACTCACAGCACTCGATGGGGTTGGAGGCCGCCTGCAGGGACACCACCCTGCCGCTGGGCTCGGGGATGTGCACGCGGAACACCAGGCGCACCCGCGTGTTCTTGCGGCCGATGTCGGTCTCGCCCTTGCGCAGCTCGATGTCCGCGTTGCGCAGCTTCAGGATCCCCGCGCAGTCGATGCTGCAACACACACGGAGCCCACTCACTGCTCTGCCCGGGGCCTGCTCCCTCCCCGGGGCTCACAGCAGCCCCGAGGACCTGCTCTCTTTGGGATCCACACATTCCCAAACGTGCAGCACACAAGGGGTGAAGAAACCTCAGACACACAGCACACGAAGGGTGCTGAAACCCCAAACGTGCAGCACACAAGGGGTGCTGCTGGACATCTCCCCACTCTCTGGCCACAGCAGAGCTGCTCTCCAAGCATTAAATCCCCAAATGTTGTTTCCCAGTGCTAAGCACAGGGGAGCAGCAGGCAGAGCCCTCCCCAGGGCAGGAGCCTCCACCAGCCCAGCTGCCAGGGCCTGCCCAACATCCCTTCCCTGCCCACACCTGTGCAGGGCAGCTGAGCCCCGTGGGGAATCACAGCAGCTGGTTACAGAATCCCCACTGCCTGCACCAGCCAGGCACATGGAATTCAGCTCCAAAGCAGGGAGCACACTGCTGTCTCCTCCTGACTGCTACAGCCTGGCCCAGGTCACTGTGCCATCCTCCAAAGCCCAGGGACATTGAAAATCTGCTCTTGCCTTGCCTGGGAACATTCTCCCATTCACTGTGTCCCTGCACAAAGGGAAAGTGCAGGGAGCAGGATGGGGCTGAGCAGCAATGATTGCTTAAATCAGCACTGCAACTTAAATTTGGTCTAAGTGCAGATTGGCTTCTCCAGAATCCAGTGTAACCTTGCAAACACGCCTGTGTTAGGAAAATGTGACAATTATTTGTCAAACTCAGCAAGAGTTCTCAGAGCAGGCAATGAGCACTGCTATTAAACAGGCACTGCCAGCCTATTTTGATATCAGTTCTAAAAATACATAATTTCTCTTCTCTTGATATGAATTAAAATCACGTTTGGGGAGGTATAAGCCCCAAGCTGCTTCCTACACCCACACTGCTCCTCGCCCTTGCATATGTGCAGGGGTTTATTATTCCAGGGTTCCTTGTTAGGAATGAGGTATATTTCCTAAAAAAATATGAAGAAAGAATGCGGATTTTGCAATGAAATAAGGGGACTTAAAAACATAACTGCTGTGCCAATTTTGTCAGGCTCCTCTGAAGGATGGAGATACAGCTCTTCCCTCTGCAGAGCAATCACTCTCATGCCTGGCACACATTCAAGCCTGAAGTTTTCAGACTGGTGCCCACTTCATCCCTCTGCCTCCATAAAACTAGAAGGAGTAATACAGACAAGATGTGCCTGTATTTGCTTTTCTGTTAACCTATTACAAGAGGAGCTCTCATGGCCAGAGCACTTGACTGAGTTTTGAAGAGATGCTTTGTATTCCATTAAATGTTGTAAAATGCATCCCAGCCCTGTTCCTCACAGTGTCCCTGCAGCACAAGGACCTGAGATTTGAGTCTTCTTTTCCTGAGTGCACCATGAACCCATTCTGACTGTGAGATGATGGATTACTGAGACACTGGCTGCCCCATCCCTGAAGTGTCCAGGCCAGGCTGGACAGAGCTTGGAGCAGCTGGGACAGTGGAAGGTGTTCCTGCCATGGCAGGGGTGGCACTGGACGGGCTTTAAGGTCCCTTCCAACCCAAACCATGCTGTGATTACAGCACAGTCACTGCAGAAACTGGAACACTGAGCAGAAGTGCCTGCATGGTCACCTGCTGGATGGGAACTCCCCCAGCAGCTTTAACCCAGGAGTTGTAGCTGCTTTTGTAAAAGGGCCTTGCCCTCACAAACCACCCCAGCATGCTGGAAAGGGGAGTCCCTCCAGAGCATCACTATTCTTTTAAGTGATCACTATTATTTTAATCTCCTTTCCCAAGAGAAAGAACTTCAGCGCCAACTCCATCCACCTCAACCTTGCTAACAAAAAGAAATCTACTTACGTTGCTTTCATGTTGTTTTTGGGCTCCAGGGGGATCTCTAGCACCTTGGTGTTGCCAATGATCTTCTCGTAGCTGGTGGTGGTGACGGTTTTGCCGGTGATGCGATGCACCTGGTAGAAGGCGTGGGGCTTCAGGATGCGCTCGTCCGCCGTGCCAATGAAGATCTGCAGCCCCAGGGGCTTGTTCTCCATGTAGCCGTGCAGCTGGCAAGACATGGACACTGCTGTCACACACTGCGCCTGCAAGGCCTTCAGGACACCAAGGAGGCTTGCAGACACGTGCAGATAAATGTGCAGATAAATGTGGGTATCTGCACTGATTCACTGCTCTTGGAAACTCATCCTTCCCCCAGTGCTGGTTCACCTTCAGCCATTCCTCTTACACTATGCTCAAACACCACCTGTACAGGTAGAGATGGCACTTTGGGTCTGGGACTGAATAGCACAAGGATGTCTTAGTTGACCTCAGAGCCTGGGGTTTCTAGGCCTCAAGGACACACATTATTCTGTCTTCTTTGTTGTTTTTTTTTTATAAACACCATTTGCTGTAAGGAAACCAGAATGCCTCCATAGAGCAGGAGACAAGGAAATTTCTCCTTCCTTATTAACATTCAAAATTACAAATCAAACCATTCTAAATTTCTCACATAACCAAAAATGAGAACCAGACATTTATCTACCACATAGCCAGGGATCGAGCTGAAAGGGAACTTTATGGTCTGAGACATGCTAAATTTGTTTTCAATTACTCTGTCCACATACAAAACCTTGATGAAGCCATACAAAGCAAATAGTACTGGAAGATCAGAGAAAAGGAAGATTAAGCTAATGGTATTCATGGCCAAACCAGGGTTTTTTTCCTTTTTTTTTTCTTTTCACCAGTCAGCAGGAGGTATCCTTGCACAGAAGGATTAATTCCCCCCTGGAAGGGGACCACATGCAGCATCAATGCAGTGCTGGCAGCCTTCCTCCAGTGTGGCAGATGTAAGTGACACTCACTCTGCAGAGCCACCACTCCTCACCCAGCACACGTTCTGGAGGCAGCAAAGCCAGGGGCTGTGCCCCAGAGACCCCAGGCAGGGCTGAGTGAGCAAACACCCCTGGCATGGACAGCTCCAGGAACAGCTCCATTGAAGGCACCAGGCCCTGGTTTTGTAGAGCAAACTGCAGAGCCCAGCCCAGGCACGGCCCAGCCCATCCCACACCTCACTGGCAGCGTTCTGGAGATGGGCAGGAGGGGAATGGGGCAGGAGGCTCTGTGCAAACCTTCAGCTGCCGCTGGGAGCCAGGGCAGGAGCAGGGAGCCGGGCTCGGAGCACCAGGGCTGGTACTGGAGGCACAGCACGGCCAGGAGTGTGAGAAATACAGCAGCAGTCATGGGCACATTCAGATATGGATAAAGCAGATGGGAGATGAAAGGAAACAGAGGCCCAAATGACAGATCTGCTGGGAACAGGCACTGATGGAGGAACAGCCCCTGCTGATCCACAGCCCAGATCCACTGGGAGCCTCACAGAAACTCACCCTAAGCACAGGGCTTTCAAAATCCAGCCCTTCCTGGCCTTCAGTGCAAAGCTCTTGTATCACCAAAAGCCATCCTGTCTGCACAAGGGGTGAGGGAAGAGAAGGTTTTGAGCATTGAGTGTGTTTATTGTCATGCCTGACAGAGTAATTCTTGGTGGAGCCAGCTACAACAACGAGAGCATCCTTTGGACAGGAGGGGTTATTACAGTGACAGCAAAGCAGCTTTTGCTCTCCCCTCTATCCTGGCAGAACAAAATCCCAGAGTTATTGGTGGGAGGCTGAAATGGAGGAAAACAGATAATAAATTACAAAAGAGAATCTGCCCCCAGTGAGCACAGTCAGTAGCAGCTCTAACAGAACTGGCTACATACACAGGGTTTCATACTGGCCACCTTTAAAAGTCATTTTAAGTGGTGTTTGCTCATGTACAGAATGAGTTCCCAAGACAAAACTGCTCATGGTTGTCCAATAATGTGCATGTCTGTGGGTGTGTGTTGTATGAATGCATACAGACTTAAAGAAGAGAGGAATTGATTCCCTGTTCCTTGGCACTGTCTGTATCATCTGCTGGCCCAGGGGCATAAAACACACAGTAAAAGGCCTCCTGATCCTCCACAGAACCAGATTTTAAATCAGTTTGGTCAGGGGAAGAAAATTACTTCTTTTTTTGTAATTTATGGTATTATGGCAATGCTGTGGGATGACGTAATTGTAAAATCAGAACAGCATTATAAAATGCAAATACAAAGAGAAAAAATATATGTAAAAGAGTCAAGTGTCCCCATTTAAAAGGGTTTATCCTTGACCTAACTGACTGCATTTTCAGGGCTAATATAGGTGGTCATTTACCATAACCATTTCCATCTACCTTTCACTTGCTGTGAACACAACAGGATAACTAAGGAATTAAAAAATGGAGATGAACAGCTCAGGGAAACACTCCAGGAACTTGAAAATCAGAGTTTTACACTCATCTTCACCACCAATTTAGCACAGCTGTGGTCATGTCACAGCAGCTCTCTTTACCAGCACCAGGGAACAGTGACACTCCCCCTGCTCGGCAGGGACAGAGCATCTGTGCTGCTTTTGTGTAGAGAAAATTCTGTGAGCTAGAATGACAGAACCCCTCAGAGCCAGGCTGCAGAGATATGTCTCTTCTTAAAACTGAACTGCTGAGGATTGTCACTGTCAGTAAACACTCACCTCCACTACACCAAGCAGCTGCTTTAGTATTTAACCAAAGCGCCAATCTTTTCTTTGGAGAAGCAAAGGTGGAATAAATTTGACCCTTAAACAAACTTTGGGAGGTGAAGATTTAAAATGCTTTTTAAAATACTAACTTTGAAATTCATTTTTTCCTCCCTTAGCAACAACGAAGCTGCTCTGAAATCTCTGTGTTTCAGAGTTGTTCTGCTCATCAGAGCTGCTCCCTCCAAGCCCTGTCAGGGGAGCACCAGCCCCACACCAAGGTTTGCCTTCACTCCTTCTCGCTTCTCTTTCCATGAAGAAAACAAAATCTGGATTTCAGTTTCAAGAGAGTGAGGATCAAGAAAGATTTATGAATACAGAACTCTGGAAGGAAATATTTTTGTGTATTATAAGGTGACCTATTCACAATAAAACTCCCCCAAACTGTATACAGATCGAGTTGGAAAAAACCCAACTCCTTTGAGTCACATTTGCCACAAGGGGAAAGAGAAGCCAGACATGATGTGTACCTTTCCATACTCTATTTTGGGACTTTAAGATCCTATTTCTTTCAGTTGAAAGATTTTTCTTAAACTTTGCTTTTGCCTAACTCCTACAATATTAACACAGCCAGACATAGGCTGGTCTGTGACCTGAGGAAATGCAAAGCACTTTGGCAGATAAACAAATAACATCATTCCGAAAACAAGGAGACTTTTCTTGTTTGGTTTGCTGCTATGATTGGGTTTCTAAACAAAATGGAAATGTGTGGCACGATTAAAAGCATCATCTCACCTCTGCAGAAATCAAATTCATTCTGCACTCCATCCATGGATCAATACCAGTCAAATTTGGGAAAGGGGAGGATTTGAGTGCCATTTGCAGAAGGCACCTGTGCAATTCTGTATGCAAAAAGGAGCAGATGTGCCCTTGCTGCTGAGTTTGTTCAGTTACACACCCAACACCACCCTGTGATGGCCCTGGCACTGCAGCCATCGGGAGCACACATCAGGCACATGAAACACACCTCCTGCCCTGTTCCAAAACTCAGATCTCCTCATAAACTGAGACCCCAGCTCCAAATACACAGCACTTAAACCCAGAGGTGTCAATTCCCTTCTAAACCATTCCTTACCCAGTGCAGAGATGGCCCAAACCCTGCACCCATGCACTGGCAGTGCCCCTGCCCGGGGGGATGTGAAACACAGGGTGAGTGCTGGGCTGCACAAAGAGCAGAGCTCTGCAGAGGCTGCAACACTGCTCACTTGTGCTGAAATCAAGGGATACATTGACAGCAGAGCCAGAAAGCAGGGCAAATTCCTTACAGATTCTGTAGGTGATCGCCTGTAGACAACAACATACCTATACAGGGGGAAATCAGTGCAATTTTGAAATTTAGATCATTCAATCTGGGATATGCTTTCTTGAATTTAAATATTATTATCATTTATGTAGAATTACATTATCAGCAGGAAGAAAAGAGATTCGTGGAAAATAAATAATTTTTTTATTCTTACCCAGAAGCCAGGCCAGAGAGGGGCAGTGATTTCCCAGGTCCTGCAGAGGGTGAGCAGCCAAAGGTGCCATGTGCCCTGCTGCAGGGGATACTGATCCCATTCTGTCCTGCTGCAGGGGATGCTGCCAGTGAATGCTGACCCTGTCCTGCCAGCACCCCAAACTGGCACTTCAGGCACCGCTCAGCAGCTGCAGCACCTCAGTTCCCAGCAGCATTGCAAGCTTTGTCTTTTCACTGCTGGGCTGCAGAGCCAAATTTTCTCGGGGATTTCTGGTTTGGCTGCTGCACATCAAAATGCTCCGTGCAGAGCTGGCTTTGCACGCTGAAAGCAGCAGCATCTGCAGCTGGTACTGTGTGCTTGAAGTGCCCCAGTAAGAGCTGTGTGAGCCTGACTGCTCTAGAGTGTACAAAGGAGTCATGTATTTCCCTTTCACCCCAGCAGAGCTCTGCCTGTCGGTCTTTCTCCCTGGGATGGACCAAGCTGCATCTTTAAAGCACTTTCCTGTCTAGACAAGGCAAGCCGTGGCCAGGAGCAAAGTATAAACGTGGGGAATGGATTCTCTAGGGCTGGGGTCTTATCTGCTCGAAAGCACTCGGTCCCCCGGTCTCTGAGCTCGGGGTAAGCCGGGTTTGGTCCGTGACCGTGGATCCCCGGCTGTGTCCCCTGGAAGTCACTGGGATGTGCATGTGTGTGGCCAGCTCGGTGATTCACGCTCATCCCGGAGCCGGGCGAGCAGCGAGCACAAAGCCGTGAGAAATCGCTTCCTCCGGGGCTCCCTTCCTGCTGCCGTGCCCGAGATAAGCGGGGCTGCCCGGCCGGCGGGGATGAGCTGTCCCGGCCGCCTGCCCTGCTCCGCTCCGGCACCGCCAGCCGGCCCCAGGGCTCCTCCCGAGCCTCTCAGACCCTCCGAGAGGATGCTCCGGGCCAACTGCCCCGTTTCTGTCCCCCCTGCCTGCTGCAAACAGCTCCAGCCTC